ATAAATTGATTAATTATGAATGTTGGATTATATTTTTATTGGTTTTCATGATTGTTTGACTAGTTTCGAATCGATAGCATTGGCTTGAGGTGCTAGAGAGGTGTTGGAGCCGGTTATGGAACTCTTGAGCGAGGTAAGTATCATGTCTAATCTTGTGAGGGAGAATTTACCCCGTAAGTGTTATATTCTTATGTGCTACATGTTGTGGGAGCTACACATGTATGAGGTGATGAGTGTCCGTGCGTATGCTAGGATTTCTAATTATGTCCAAGTAGACTTAGACTCATGCCAAACTTAAATTGTACTATTTGAGTTATTCTTGCCTGTTTAAATGCTTTAATTTACATTTAGCATGAGACTAGAAATTGTACTTGATTAGCCGTAGAAATTGTACTTCCCTTATGGATTTCTCCCGCGTTGTGCGTATCCATTGAAATATTTGTCTTAAATCTCATAACTCACACGTATATTCGTGAGTGGGTCCAAAGACCCATAAAAGCTTCATATTCTAATGGGATCGGGCTGAATGTCCCTGCAACACTCTCATAGGATCGGGTCATTCGCCTCGGTAGTATCATGTAACACACTCTTATGGGATCGGGACATTCGCCTCGGCAGGATATTGTAACTCACTCTTATGGGATTGGGCCGTTCGTCTCGGCAGTATCATGTAACACACTCTTATGGGATTGGGCCGTTCGTCTCGGCAGTATCATGTAACACACTCTTATGGGATCAGATCATTCTCCTCGATAAGATATTGTAACACACTCTTATGTGATCACACCTTTCGCTTCGGCAGTATCATGTAACACACTCTTATGGGATCGGGTCATTCGCCTCTGTAGGATATCGTAACACACTCTTATGGGATCGGGACATTCGCCTCGGCAGGATATTGTAACTCACTCTTATGGGATTGGGCCGTTCGTCTCGGCAGTATCATGTAACACACTCTTATGGGATCGGGTCATTCGCCTCTGTAGGATATCGTAACACACTCTTATGGGATTCGACCGTTCGCCTTGGCAGTATCATGTATCATATTCTTATGGGATCGGGCCGTTCGCCTCATCATTTCTGTAAAACCACTCTTATGGGATCAGGCCGCTCGCCTAGGCAAAATCATAATACTTGATTAGAAGTCTGCGTACTCATGAATTTTTGAAACTTGAGATGTGACCGTTGATCTGGTGTTGACCATTACGTACTCCATTTGAGAGATATCCAGTATTTGAGGAATTTGTGTTCACTGTTCAGTTGTAGACCATATTATTTGCCTATATCTGTACTCATTGTTTACTTACCATATTTCATACTTGTCTACTTATTTATATTTGCTTTACTGGACCACTAGTAAGTGTCAATGTCGACCCCTCATCACTGCCTCTTTGGGGTTAGGCTAGATACTTACTCAGTTCGTGTTGATTTACGTACTCATGCTACACTTCTGTATTAAATGTGCACGATCTGACAGGTTCATTTGGTGGTCATTTGGGCGCGTAGGTGAAACTGCAGAGAAGATTTATGGTGAGCTGCATTTCCATGCTACGATTCGCAGCACACCGAGTTTCCATCATAAATATTTACTTTATCATGTCTATCTTGTATTTCAGACAGATGTTGTATTGTTATTGTACTTCCTAGTAGATGCTCATGCATTTGTGACATATGGTTTTGGGGGTTCCTAGTGGATGTTCATTGTAGTTCACGTTATTAGTGTCATTTCACTTTATGATTTATATTCGGAATTTGGTAAAGGAAAGCACAGGTTTCTAAGAGTGCCGGATTTTATCCTATTTATTTAATGAAATTTCTGATTTTAAGAAAAAAATTTAAAAGGGATAATTAATTAGATTGTTCACTGTTGGCTTGTCTAACGACGACGTTGGGCGCAATCACGGCCTATAGTGAATTTTAGGTCGTAACATTAAACATGTCACAATGTTCGAATGGCTATAAAAGCTTTTCATTGAGAATAGAATTGAAAATTTAAGTTAAATAATTTTTAAATTTAAAAAGAGATTATTATTTTTGGAATGGATTAAAAAGAAAATAGGTTCACATAAAGTTAAACGTATCGAGTAGAAAAGATCACTGCCTTAACGAATAATAGCTTCAACCCGTATTCTCCAAGCATAATACATTACGATTCAATATCACTTAATAAATTAAATAATGCAGCATTAAAATATGAAGCTTCTTAATCCATAACAGCGAAACTATTATCACTCATACACATGAAATTTCACCTAAAAATGATAATGTTTCATACTAACGGTTTAATATTTTTAACCATAAAACAAAAAGAGGAGACAACGTCACTTGTGACAATAGAAGTGGCAACTACTTATTGAAGTAAGGTCGAAAGTATTACTGTCCTGGTCTTTGAAGAATAGTAAAACCCACCGTAAATATATAATACCCCAACCCGCTACTAATGATATTGTTTGCTTTGAGGTTAAATTCGTGCGTATTTAAAATGCGTCACTAAGGTTTAAGGCTTGTTAATTTATATATACTCAACATTCTACTTGTGTTTTGCTGATGTGGTACTCTGTCTAAAATATGGGGTATTACATACACCCTCTCTTATGTACTCAACGTCCTTGCTGAGGTTTGCTCCATCACATGGGATTCGCCTAGAGTCAGCACTGAGGTTTACCCCGCCTAACCGGGATTCGCCTAAACTCAGTTGAACTCTAACCCATCATCGGCAAGGCTGACACAAGAGTGGCTCTGATACCATCTGTAACACCTCATCCCGCTAGTGATATTGTCTGCTTTGGACCTAAACTCGTATGGTTTTAAAACGCGTCACTAGGATCTAAGACTTGTTAACTTATATACCCAACATCCCTCTTGTGTTTTGCTGATGTAGGACTCTGTCTAAAATATGGGGTGTTACACCCACATCCAATTAGGTCAAGATAACTTCTTCAAGAAAACGAATATTTCCTTTCTAATCCTAACATATTACATTTACACAGTTTATATAATTGTAATAGCTCAACTCACTAGTGATTATTCGCTTTGCCCCTGTATCTCACACAAGGTCTAAGGCTTATTTTTTTTATTTAACATCTCTTCCGCATTTGGCGATGTCGAATTTGCTTATATATGTTGACCCTCTCTTAGGGACTGAATGTCCTTATTGTTTGTGTCCATCACCCTCTCAAAGACGTGAGATTTGCGTAAATTCGATTAAATATTTAGGTTTACCCCATTATCATCCAAAGTTACACACAGAGTGACTTTGATGTCATCTTTAATTGACAACTCACTAGTGATATTCTTCATTTTGAGTCTAGGCCAACTCGACTTTACAAAGGTTTTAACACTTTTCTCCCTATATTCCCGACATCTCGCATATTAAAATAACCTAATTACTTTATTTCTTTTCCATTTCAAAGATCTTCATCTTTTTTTCCATATACCAAACATCTTCATCTTTTTTTTCCTCACACCAAAGATTTTAATATTGACTACACTTTTTTCAGCATTTGGGCAAATATTTCTGTAAAATTAGGAACACGTTGGGTAGACTATCTGACTTTTCATAAAAGATCATTTACCTTATATGAACATTTGTTTTAATGACAAATCACTCAAAATTAAATAACAATAGTGTTTTGACACGATTAAAATAGTTCACCAAGAAAAATTACGTATACGAGTAAAAGATAGAATTTGCCTTTTCCATATTTAAATAGTAGGTCAATACTTGGTAAGAATGGCGGCCGCGCGTCTACATAATATTTTTCTTATATAAATACTAGGAAGGATAACTCATGCTACGCATGGGCCCAATAACACTATGCTTAGATTGTGCTAATTAGTATGTGTATATTTTCTTCTTAATTTATATGCACGGGTAATATAAAATTTTACTTAAAATATCAAGTTATTAAAATAGTTATGGATAGTTTCTTAGACGATGCTATCTCGTTCAAAATAAGTGTTTTTAAGTTTTTGACACACTCATTAAGAGAATAATTTAATAGCATTAATATAATCGTTATTTAACTAAGTTATCCTTCATATCTTCTTTAAATTAGTCTTTGTATATCATCATATTTTGTAGATCATTTATTGGTTCAAGGATAGTTTGAAAAAATACTAATTATTGCCTTCTTGGATTTTCAAAGTGATAATTACTTTTGCCAAATTATTTTAGCTAAAATAAAATATATTTTTGATCATAGGGATATTTACAACTTAAATATTATCAAATTTATATTCCATTCTTAGAAATTGAAAGAGCATAATCCAGATTGCCATCTTTTATGACAAATATGTTTTCTAGACAAAACAGTATAAAAATATTAATATTTTAGAAAATCAGATAAAAATTTAAACAAGTAATTTTCGGTAATTAATGGTGCTGCAAGTTAAAACATTGTTGCATAGTTCAGTGGGTGCGACAGAGATGGTGCAAACCGTTATGTTGAAATAATAATTGCTCAATTTTTTCTTTTCAAATAGAATTTATGTGCAAACACAATTTTAACTTTCAATTATATTTTTCTAACTTTAAGTAATTTATTTTTCAACTTTGTGAAATATTTGTCCAAATGCCAACAATAAATGTGTGCTTATACAATGCTTCTCTCATCCCCAAATAAAATTTGATTGATAAAAAATTTATAGTAACAAATAAATGATATTATTAAAGTACATAAATATTAAAAAACTACATAAAATAAAACTATAAAATATAACTTGTAAAAGCTGAAAAATAGAATGTCGTGCCTGCATTTTGGGCCAAATAGTATACAAAAGTGTGATGATAATTGATGTAATAATATACAAAAGCAGGGGCAAATAGATGTTCTATTAAAGCAGGGGCAAAACTATTATTGGTGAAGCAGGCATGTCAGCATAGTAGAAACGCAAAGGGTATTTTTGTCAATTCACTGGACGACCCTAAGCTCCTCTTAGCCGCTTCTATAATAGTAAGGTAATGTGCTCTCTGCTGCTACTTTCATAATTATCTATCCCAGAATCATACAAAATACTAGCAAATATTGTCCTATTAGCCATGGCTTTTATGTTGCCAACAGTGATTTTTGCTCTTGTTATATTATTCATCTTCCATAAGTTACTAAATATCAAGAATGAGAAGAAACTAAATATCAAGAACAAGAAGAAACTTCCTCCTGGCCCAAAAGGGCTTCCCATATTAGGACATCTCCATCTTTTAGGTGAAAATCCAACCCAAGATTTCTACAAATTATCCAAAAAACATGGTCCTATTATGTACCTTAAATTAGGATTAGTACCAACTTATGTTATATCTTCTCCTGAATCAGCTGAAAAAATCCTCAAAACATATGATCATGTCTTTGCTAGTAGGCCTCATAATGAGACAGCTCAATACATCTCTTATGGCCAAAGGAATTTGATTTTTTCTAAGTATGGAGCTTATTGGCGTAACATGAGAAAATTATGCACAGTTCACTTGTTGAGTAACCACAAGATTAACTCGTATCGATCAACTAGAAGTGAAGAAGTTGCCCTTATGATCAAATCAATTAAACCATCAGCTCAAGATGGTGTTGTTGTTGATCTTAGTGCAAAGGTTTCATCATTGAGTGCCAACTTGAGTTGCTTAATGGTTTTTGGAAAAAAATTTATGGATGAGGATTTAGACAAAAGGGGGTTTAAATCTTTAGTCCAAGAGGTTACACATTTAGCTGCAACACCAAATCTTGGTGATTTTTTCCCTTTTTTTGGTGTTATTGACATCCAAGGACTTACGCGTCGTATGAAGGATATTTCTAAGGTATTTGATGAATTTGTTGAGAAGATTATTGATGAACATGTCCAGACTACAGACCAGAAGAAAACAAAGGATTTTGTAGATACTATGATGTCCATTATGCAATCTGGAGAAGCAGAGTTTCAGTTTGATCGTCGCCATGTCAAAGCTGTCCTGCTGGTACGTTCATTCACAATCTGAAATATAATTTGTACTATAGCACTATTTTTAGTCAACTTAACTCGTGTAACGGTCGACAATCAATCAACAGAACCTCAATTGCTACGGCTATATGAATCCTTTATATTTGTAGATAATTCGTCATAATTAAATTATTTTCAATGCTAACAGTCAACTTACCTCAACTCTAATCCTTTATCCGGGCTTGGAAGAAACATGGGCAAAACATGTTTAATGGTAATAATTTGTTTTTATTCAGGACATGCTTGTAGCATCAATAGATACATCATCAACTTCAGTGGAGTGGATGCTCTCGGAACTTCTCAAGAATCCTAATGTAATGGAAAAACTCCAAAAAGAGTTAGAAGAAGTAGTTGGCCTAGACAGAATGGTAGAAGAATCAGACTTAGACGAATTGAAATACTTAAACATGGTATTCAAGGAGTCATTTAGGTTACATGCTGCAGCCCCATTACTACTTCACGAAGCAATGGAAGATTGTATGGTAGATGATTTCTACATACAAAAAGGATCACAAGTTATTGTCAATTCATACTCAATTCATATGGATCCTAATGTTTGGCCTGAAGCTGATAAATTTTTGCCAGAAAGGTTTCTTGAAAGTAACGTAGACGTTCGTGGACGCGACTTTCAACTTTTACCATTTGGCTCCGGCAGAAGAAGTTGTCCGGGGATGCATTTGGCGTTAATTATTGTACGTCTGGTCGTCGCGCAATTAGTTCACTGCTTTGATTGGAAACTCCCAAATGGAATTCAGCCTAAGGATTTGGATATGACTGAGAAATTTGGTATTGTGACTGGTAGAGCCAAGAATTTGATGGCTATTCCTACTTATAGGCTACACAACTGATTTTGGGAAATAGTTTTTGGTACATCTAGTTTTATGACGTTTCACCTTGTAATAAAACACGTTAGTGTTTTGATTGAGTAACCTTTTTTGTGTGCACTTGTAATAGTACGGGAAAAACTAGAATAAATATGTTATCGTTTTTCGTTACTTCTAATAAATATATTTTAGAGGTGGAATCTTCTAGCTCTTCCTATTTGATCCAAAATCGATCAATCTAAGTGAGCTCCTTATGCTTCTGGTCCATATTGTTGTATGTTTTTCTAAGATTTGTGTATACCTCTTAAGAAAAATCTATAATAATAAACTTACGAGGTAAAGAGTGTTTGTCAAAATTATCTTTTATCTATCATTATAAATAAGGTGGATTTTGAGAAAAATAATAAATATTTCTTATTTTCTCTAACACGTCAAATATTTTAGGACAAATTCAATTGCTAGAAGATTAATATTTGGGACCAGAGGGAAAATTTTTCTATTGTAAGAGGAATGTATGTGTGTGTATAAATTTTTCATTATTTTACAAATTATTTGATTGCCTCATGTTTATCTGCTAAGATAGCATCTTGACTCCTATTAAGGTTGAAAATGATGAATCATCACTGAGATTTTCTACACAATATTATAATTCTCTATCTGTTCCACTTGAATTCATTTGGCATTAAAATATGCTTGTGACGGTTATGGTTCTAAATAATTAATTAATAATGTTATCCTAGTATAAGGACTGATGTTCGAATTGTTATACGACAAAAAGTAGAAGCAGTTCTTCACTCAACTGTCAGATTCTTCACCAGCAAACGAAGTATATATAAAATTGTGATACAAGTAATACTTGAAATGATGACACTCTGCCTCTCATGGAAAAAGAGACATGTAATATTTAAACTAGGAAATGTCATTGAAGAATATTATCAACAATAAGAAAAGGAAATTCTCTCTTAGTTCCTTTATGAAGTTGTGAAAATATGTCTCTCGACAGTAATAACTCAACAGAGGGAAATATGAAATCAATTCGGCTTTTTTTACTTTTAGCCCGCGTCAGAAATTAATTATATTTGGTAGTCGAGAAAATATATAAAATTTATATTTAGCATACAAAATGTATATATATACAAAAAATATATATTTTTGACTATTATTTTGAGAGTGCTATAGAGTGTCATTTTCCTATCAATCAATCAATAAAATTATGCCTAAATCCGGAACATAGTCGAGGTGGACATATAAATCTGCTACATATTCTGCTCTACTAAGAGGGTGTTTGGATGGGATTAAAAGCACATTTTAACTTGTTTGAGTGTTTGGTAACTTTAAAAAAAATCAAATAGGAACTTTTTACACGCCTAATTCCTTTCCAAAAAGTATTTTAAAAAACACATTAATTTAAGTTTATTCCATAAATAACAAATCTTTTTTACAATACTAGTATATTGTAAAATTTATGCACAATATCGATGAGTGAACGGAAGACATAAATTATAGGATCTATTTTTAACCTTATTGATGATGGGAGAGTAGCGACTTTGACTTTTCGATTTTTCCAAAGTCACAATTAAGTTATAGCTAATTTCTCTCGTGGAGCCTTCGATATTATAATTGAATCTACAACAAATCTTTTTCCAAATCTTTTCAACTGAGTTATTTTTTTTAATTTTTTTCCCGACATTTATTTCTTTCTCTCTCTCACACAACGTGTATTATTCAAAGTATATTACTAGCAAATACCTTACAAAAAAATAAATCTAAAATTTTCATATGCCATTAATATGTGTATAGAAACAAAATATATCAGATAAACTTATTATATACACAAAATTATATATTCAAATATATATGTTATATTAGTGAAAGATATAAATGATATATTGATGATATATATTTAAATATAAATACGAGTATAAGCAATATATGTATATATACATGATTTTTCTTAGAAAATACATGATTTATAATGTGTGTGTGTGTGTGTGTGTGTATATATATATATATATATATATATATATATATATATATATTATTTTTCATAATATAAATTTATTTTATTTCTTTCAGAATATACGATATATAATTTCACTAGAGTTATGTTGTACAAATAGCCCATGTATTTTTTTTCTCGGTAAAAATATACAATGTATGGAAAGTAGAAAATTTGTTATGGAAAGTTTTCAACATAAAAATATAGGAAAATATATTATGTTATGGAATGTATTAGTTTCTAACCATTTAAATGTGTTAGGAATGGATTGGTTTCAAGAGAAGATATTAAAAAGTATTAGGAGTGTATTTAGTAGTAGCTTGATTGTTAGCTCGAAATTTATTATTATCACATCTGAATTGATTGGAATCTGTTATATATAAAAATATTTTACTGCCATACTTGTTAATCATTAACCGATGCTATTCTTTTGTATTATCTTTCTGTAGCCGTATAAAATTTGCGAAATTAAATTCATAAATTAATTTGGACTATATTTTAAATTCAAGATATATTAGTCCAAATAAATTTATTGGGCTAATATAATTAGATTAATTATATAAGTCCGATATAGATGGACTCAATAAATTAGTCCAAGTTCATCATGCTACAAGTGATGAGCTCACTTCACTAAGCCCAAAATGCCATCTTCCTAGAGGTCCAATTCGGTGCCACGTGTCAAATGATATGGCACGCCAAGTCAAACGGAAGAGCCAATATGATCATGCCACATGTCAAAATGACAAGGCATGCCAAGCCACATTAAAAGATCAATAAAATCGTGCCACGTGTGCAAGTGACATGTTCTAGCCAATCAAATGCGACCTTATCACACTTCAATTTGATTGGTCGGAAAGAGTTTGTTCTTATCATAATTCTTCTCTCCCACAACTATAAATAGAGTTCTTCATAACTCAGAAAAGGACCAGAAGTTATAACAAGAAGCAAGAGAGAGCTCGTGGATCAAATGTCGCAAATTTCTCTACAAGTTTCAAGCTTCAAGCAATCAAGTTCAAGTTCAAGAAATCAAGTTCAAGCTCAAGAATGAAGAACAAATCAAGATTCAAGGAGTACGAGTTCAAATCAAAGTTCGTACTAGTTGAATTCGAGATCATTGTTCATGGCAAAAACTATATATTCAAAATCAAGTTCGAAGGCCCTTGAATTTATTTATTATTGGAAATAAGAATCAGAGGATTCATAGAGATTGTAACACTCAAACTAGTTAAAATCAAATGCTATGATTGTTGTAATATTTTCGGTCTTGATTTTATTTTCTCAACGCAAATTTATTGTCTACAAATTCTGGCATGCCCAGTGGGGCAATCTCTACCTCTCATCTAAACTTTTCAATCACTAAAGTTTAACAACATCAAAATGTCTTCAAAGAAAATCAACCCCATTTCAACTTCCACCAGGGCTGCTAATTCCAAGTTTTACGCTTATGTAGAAAGCATCTTCGATGTTACCTTTGGAAGTTTTGGGCTAGTTACAAGGAGCAAAGCAAGCTCTTTAGGATAATAAGCACTCCAAGTGTCGTCTACGTCAACCCCTATTTTCGGATCTTCATCTTCAAAAGGAGCAATATCCTCTACAAGCACGACCCAAAAAGGGAACGATGTTGCCAAAAGGATCAAAAAGGTTCTTCCCCAACATAGTTTATCTAAGTTTGAGAAACCTTTCATGCAAGCTTATGATGATGAGTTGAGCGCTGGATCTACTTTAGTCTCCATTAATGCGACCTCCAATCTCTATCCCGATAAGGATCTATTTCATTCTTTATCCTCTACAGACATCATGTAAGCAATGGTTATTGAAGTTTCTAACGTAGAAGAACAACTCGCAAATTTGACGAAAGCAGTTGAAGGAGAATAGCATAGTAGAAGGAGAATGTATATGAATACCTTTAAATCTTCAAAGGTTACAAGAGAAATGGGACTCCTCCGAATACGACCCGACCAGTCGTTTCGAGTATTTATATTTCGCTCGATAGATTGAGGGCATGAGTAGCTCCGTATGATATATTATGAATTATGTGATTTGTCGGTTCTGGTTTTCATGTTATTGTGAATCGATTTGGAATAATAAATTTTATGATTTAAATTTTAAGTTGGAAGAGTTGATCAAGTTTGACTTTTGTGAATTTGACCCCAGAACAGAGTTTTGATAGTTCCGTTAGGTACGGATGGTGATTTTGGACTAAGGTGTATGCCCGTATTTACATTTGGATATTTCTAGAAGGATTCGACACTAATTGGCAAAAGTTAGAAATTTGAAGGTTTGGAAAGTTTATAAGTTTGATCGGAAGTTGACTTTGAGGATATCAAATTCAGATTGTGGTTACGGGGCATTGGAATAGCTTTCTTATGTCATCTGAGACTTGTGTGCAAAATTTGAGTTCATTCCACGTGGATTTGATGTGTTTCGGCTAGTTTTGGAAGTTGAAAGTTCAAGTTCATTTAAGTTCGATTAGATGTGTGATTCATCGTTTCAATGTTGTTATGTGTGATTTGAGGCCTCGACTAAGTCCGTATTATGTTATGAGACTTGTTAGTATATTTGGACGGGGTCCCGAGGGGCTCGGGTGAGTTTTGGACGAGGTTCAGACCATTTTGTCGCATGTTGCATTTGGCTAAGGCTGCTGGTTCTGGTATTTCCGCATCTGTGGAAGAATGGACACAGATGCAAGTCCGCATATGCGGACAGCTGGTCGCATAATCAAAAGAATCTCGGCTGGGGATCATCGCAGATGCAGAGGAAGAAGCGCACCTGCGTGTGCGCAGAAGCGAAAGCTGTGATCGCAGAAGCGGTTGAGTGCGCAGAAGCGTGTCTTGTCTCACACCTGCACTTGTGCAGAAGCGGTACCTGTTGTGCAGGTGCGGAAGATAAGAACTCCAGGGTTTTTCGCAGAAGCGGGAATGTGATCGCAAAAGCGACGCCGTAGAAGCGGCCCTTTCTTCGCAAAAGCGAAAATGCTGGGCAGAAACTATATATAGGGGTTTTGGGTTCTTTTATCATATTTTAAGATGTGGGACTCGGATTGAGGCGATTTTAGAGGCAAATTTCATCATAAGGATTGGGGTAAGTGTTCTACTCTCGGTTTTGATTATATTTCATGATTTTATCTTCATTTTTGGTAATTGGATTATGAGTTTTAAAGGGAAAATTGGGGATTTTTGCCTAAAGCTTCATAGATTGAGTTTTTGAGCTT